GTTGTGGGCATAGATCCTTGATTAGATTGATTAGAGAAAATAACAGGCTGTTGATAAGTCTGATGGGCAATTCCTTGAGAACCTTGAGGCAGTGAAACCTAAAATTTGAAAGACAATTTAAAGGGAAAAAGGTTCTTCAAAACCTTGCCAATGTTAACGTCGCTAGTCTTCACAAGGCTTTTCAAGTATGAACAGTTAGGAATAAGCTAAAACTGCCGATAGGCTGTCCTGATAAGTGAGCCATAGAACTACCACATTATCTCTATGTTCTTTTCAGCTAGCTATTGTTTTTGGCTAGCATTTATCAATTTACAGTAGGTTAGCGGCATTAAATTATTTTTAAAAAGCTGCTATGACTTATGTCCCTAAGTAAAAGCTATTTTAAAAAAGAAACTTTCAAACTAAGGATACCATTTGACATACTAAGTAAAATCCAGTTACGGCACTAGTAAGGTATACTGGATTGGAAAAAGTGTCACCTTTGAAGCTTAAGATATCTAGATGTGATATCAGCTTCATTACTTTACTATCTATGTGACATTGGGCAAATGACTTAACTATCCTGATGTCCTTTAGTTCCTTATCTGAAAAAATAGAATGCCAACTCCATCTCAGGGGAGGTATTATCTTTATTATAATCTCCATTTACAGGTTCTAGCACAGTAGGCATTTGGTGAACAGTGGATCTTTCAATTCTCTGTTTTCTATATCATCTACATAGAAGCCACAAGAACATTATGGATTCTTCTTTTCTGTATTTCAATTCTATAGTTTCTATAGTCTCTAAAACAGAAACCACATAGGCATAATGGATTCTTAATTTACAAATGTGCCACAACGTTACAGTCAAATTAGAGTGATTCTGGTAAATAAAGCCAATATAATAAATCTTCTGATGATTATAATGATGATGTTAGCAATAGCAGTAGCAATGATAATATTAGTAATAGTGATGACAATGAAAGTCAGCATTACTGAGTACTTACTACCATATTCAGGACTTGTTCTAAACATGTTATATGTATTATTACACCAAGTCTTCCTAACAACCCTAATAAGATACTTTTATCATACCTGTTTTATAGGTGGGGAAACTTCAGTTAAGTAACTTGCCCAAGGATGTATAGCTAGTAAGTAAGTAAATCAGGATTCGAACCCATGCTCTCTGGCTCTAATCACATCACTATTCTCTATATCTGGGCCCCGTGATTAACTTTCCAGTCTTGCCTATCTAGCATATTTCTGAAATGTAACTAGTCCTTTCAAAACACACAGTAATCTATTAATTACTGTCAATTTGGCTCAATTATTGCAAAGAGAAAATTACTGGTTTGATGTATCCAACTCTGTATAACACAATATAGTTCAGTCTTTTTGTCTACTTGAGGCAATGTAACATTCTGAGATTATTATTTCTGCCCGTATCTACATATATATAGATATATGAAAAATGACAGCTCAATCTAGATGACTGAAGCTACAGAATAAATGTGTAACTAGTGGTAAAGAAAAAAAACAAAAATGAAAGAGGGTACAGTACTTGAGAATGTACAGCCACAGGATACACTCTACCGAGGACAGATGATTTTTCTGGCTTATTTTCTAGATAACAGTTTATCACTATCCAGTTTATCTATCAAATGTAGAAGGAAATATAAAGCAGGCTGTCATTTATTGCTTGTCAGAGCAATACTTCTCCCATTCATTCACCCAGTGTGAGGATTACATGAAATACCTTGAGAAAATAATTTATAGCTTATAAAAAAGCATGCTATAGAAATTATAACTGTTTTGGAAGCATTTTCAATATCTAGCTCCATTTTTAAAAATGATACTAACAGGGTTGTAATTCATTTAAAAATTATACTTCTTGCACTAGACTATGAGCCACTAAAGGTTAAAGGTAGTTCTTATTTAAATAATGCCTGGGCATCTTATCTAATAGAAGCTCAATGTACTAGATTAGGTAGCATGACCAGGGTTCTTGAGAAGGGAGAGTTCCTGGCATGGTACTGATCCTGTTTAACGTCTAGCTGTGGAGGAAGTAGGGGATGGGCAGTCTCATGTACCTAGGCTCACATACAGAAGATAAGGAGTTAAAAGCAAGGGGGATGTGAGAGAAAGATGTGAAATCTGGTTTCATGATGTATCTTTTCTTTTTTCCTTATTTGCTTTCTATAATAAAGGGACTTCGAAACTAGACATACCCTTAGTGCTTAAAAAAAGAGTCCTTAACAATTCCACATTTTACATTTTAATTTCAATTTTAATTTTCTGGAATTAAATGGAATATGCTAGCACTTGTGCTCATCTACTTCTCCATCTCCATTATTCACCAATTTATGCACATAATTTTCTTTTAAGAGCAGTTAAAGGTTTATATCTTCCAAGAAGACCTCTATATTAAGTCCCTAATCTCTTCATGACTGTATTTCATAATTCCTTCAGTTATTGGTCTGTATACTATCACTAATTATGTTTAGATAAAATATATGAACATTTATCTTCCCAGCTAGACTGTTTTTACCTAGCTGAGATGAATGAAAATGGTCTTTGGATTTCTTAACATTAGAAAATCATGAGACTAATAAAACAAACCCACTCACAACTTATTCCAGAAAGATGAAGGTTAAACAAATTTTTGAAAATGTGCCATATTATACTAAAGAACTCTGACTCATTTATGAAACAATAGGCATTTCTACTTTAGAACTATAAATTAAAATCCATGTCATCTTTAATACATGACACGTCATTCCTTTTTTGAGATTTAAGTGGGGGAAAAATCAGTTCCAGCATGGGAAACTGCATCATCTTCTCCACCTTAGAAACACTGATTTATAGTCTGTGCTCTGTCTCACTATATCAAATACCTACCTCCACCTCCATTTTCTCTCCCATTCCACTTTCTCCTCAAAAAAAGACTTTCTAAAGGAGCTGAATCATAGAACGAGACACTTGCTTACATACTTATATATTTGGAAACAGAAACAATGCCAGACAAAATTTACTTGCCAACATCAATGTGGTTCAGATATTTTTTCTAAAAATTAATGAAGAGAATGACTAAAGTAATAAAATGAGGATAAAACAAATCTGCTATGACTAATAAAACTGTTAAGACTATAAAGTTATGTATTATAGAGCATTATTTCTATTGAAAGAAGAGAGAAGATGCATTATAACTATACATTTATTTAAAATCATCTCTACCCTAAGTAGGTGAGAGGGACAACATACCTGATATGATGGCACTGAAGGATAGGGGATGACCACTCCTTGAATCTGATTTCCAATGCCGTTTGGTTGGCCACCAACGAGGCTTTGACTCTGGGGTTGCTGAACTCCAACTATTCCTTGGTAGTTTTGTTGCTGGTTGGGCATAACTTGGTAACCTGTAATGGCACAATGAGTTAAATCCTGCTTTGAATTAAATTTATTTTATCTAATAGGATATTTTTGTATTCAGAACACAAGTACTTTGTGTTCTAAAATGACAGAATTTTGTTTAAACAGCAAATCTCAAAAAACTCTTTATTATGAAACCTAACATTTAAAAGGTTTACTATGTAGGTAACCCAAGTCAATTTTTCTCTCATAAAACACATTCCAATATAAACTGTGTACAAAGATGTCCTCTGCAGTTGAGGAAATTTATGGCGTCAGAGATTTGGGTTACACAGATAATTACTTTTTAGTATGTTTTACCATCTACTATGACAACTAGTTTCTGGGGACCAGGACTGGCTACAGAATTTGGGAGTACAGTGAAACAGGAAAATGCAGGGCCTCTTGTTAAAAAACTGTTGAAAATTTAGAGTTGGTATTAGAACATTACACCAAGCATGTTGGTAATGTAAGTCGTCAATTTTAAGAATATAAATTTACTTTTATCAACTGAATTTATTAGTTATTTAAATGAGAATCCACAATGATAAGTTTGAGTAGTCAGTGTGAATTATATTTTGTCTCTTGATCCTAAGAAGATTCCTTAAGGTAAGCCAATTAGTTCAAAACTTAAGTAACGTACTAGAAGCTACAATAAATCTTTAAAAAGAAAAGAAACCAGATAAAAATAAATAACTAATTTTCTAGCTTCAGGGTATTCAAAAAGTAACAAAGATGAACCATACTATGGCACTGTCTATACAGACTTCCAAAACTAAACGTCAGTGAAATGATTTCTCTGATAACATCATAAACATACTTTGCTATCTTATAAATATCGGTTTTCATTTTCATCCTTATCAATCCCTAAAGAAAGAGAAATGGCAAAGATCTCATCTCAGGTATTGATTGTAGATAATAGCATCACTGTAGCTGCCAGGAAGCCTTAATGATTCTGCTTAATGATTAAATAATTGAATAAAATCTAGCATCACCTTTCTCTAAAGACATAAAGACAAAGTATATCTGTGTACTTTGCAACTTATTAACAACAACAAAGTAGAAATCCAGTTATAGTGAATGCTTTAATAGTGAAGGGTTTTATAAAATAATGGTATTTGTCTGGCAACATTGCTTTATGGCTATGTTTTCAAATGACCTCTCACCAATCTAACTTTGTACAACGAAAATGTATATTCTAATCCTTATCTGTAATAAAAGTGATTGATAATATGCTGTACTTTAGACCATTTTCCCTGTGAATGTCCTAAAACAACTTAAACTTGTAGGCAGATAAAAGATGAAGTGGAAGAAACTTCTTGCTCATTAGTAAAATAATTAATACTTAACGCTATTTTCAGTTTATCAAATGACAAGTATTTTGAATTTATAACCTAAATTCCAAATACTATCAAAAAGTAGTTAGACATTTCTACCCCTAGGAAAATAAGAGGCAGGAGTGAAAATGGGATGTGAATATAAGATATTTTGTGTTGGAAATGCCACCTCTGAATACATACACACACATCCCCAAGCGTATATTCCAGTATTAGAATTTGGGCTCAGTTCTTTATAGACTGGGAAAGTAACTTCTTATAATGGACTCGTCAGAGTTATAGTCCACTAAAATTAAAAAAGAAAAAATGTGGACACCTGGCAGAATTCACTGTAACATAATCTGACTTAAAATACCTAGACTTAAATAGTCACACCCCCCTAAGAAACTTCAAATGTTTTTCATATTACTTTTGTAGTTTATTCACAATATAGTCAACGTTATAAGTTGCTTTGAAAGATAATCATTAAAAAAACAATTTATGCACAAAAGTGGTTCTGATTTTCTTTAAATTTACAAATTTTTGGAGATTCACCTAAAGAGGCTTACTGCCTAAAATTCTTATGAAAAAAAAGTTGGAAAGAAAATTTTCAATAATAGCTATAGAGTTCATATCACAGAGTTCTAATGTAGGGTCATTTGGACCATAGACTTTGCATCAGTAATTTTGCAACACTATTTTAGATTACTTAATTTAACCTAATTTCCATTAATATTCATGACTACTAATGGAGATACGCACATACCTTCACACAAAAATCGTGTACATTTCGAAAAAATGTGACAACATGAATTCTAAAACATCTGACACTAGCACCTTGTCATTTGTTAGAGAGAGTAGTAAAAAAGATGCTGTGAGTCCAGGATGTGTGTGGAGGATGATATAAAGATAAGTAAGACATGGAATCTATCTTGAAATTAGGCATTGTTAGCTATGACACCATATCAGAACAGCAGAATAAATAGGATCTTATGAAAATGAGAGAGAAATCAGTCCTGTCTGATATTCACAGAGGTAGTGACCTTTGAGCCTGAACTTAAATAAAAACATCTAGAAAAAGTAAAAAGTGGATAATATGTTTCAGGAATAGGGAACAGACGGGAGTGGCTGGTTATAGTATGTAAAGTGAAAAGTAGATGAAGGCAGAATAGAATCCAGGTGGAGAATCAAAGATTTTACAAGTATTAGAGCAGGGAGAATTAACCAGAAGTTCTAGATTTTAAAGATTGCGAAAGCAGAAAAACTATTAGTACTTCATTTAGAAGTAGCATAAATAAGTTGGGAACATGACCTTAAATAATAGTGAAGCTTTAAAACTAAGAATGCTAAGCACTTAAAAAAAGTCTCTCCCTTAAGAAACTCCCTTATTAATCATCTCATAATTTTTGTTTATTGCCCTATTTTTTAATTTTTCAGTTATAGCTGACATTCAATATTATTTTATATTAGTTTCAAGTGAATAGCATAGTGGTTAGACATTTATATAATTTACGAAGTGATCCCCTCAATTAGATGAATACCCACCTGGTACTATACAGTTATTGCAATTACTGACTATATTCCCTATGCTGTTCTTTACATTCCCATGATGATTTTCTAACTACCAATTTGTACTTTATCCCTTCGGCTTTTCACCTAGACCCCCAAACCCCTTCCCATCTGGCAACAATTAATTTGTTCTCTATATCTGTTAAGTTTGTTTCTGTTTTATATATTTTTTTAGATTCCACATATAGGTGAAATCATATATGGTATTTGTTTTTCTCTGACTTATTTCACTTAGCATAATACCCTCTAGGTCCATCCGTGTTGTTGTAAATGGTAAGATTTCACTTTTTTTAATGGTTAATATCCCATTGTATAAAGGTACTGCTCTTCTTTATCCAATAGTCTATTGATGGGCACTTAGGTTGCTTCCATATCTTGGCTATTATAAATAGTGCTGCAGTTAACACAGGGGTGCACAGATCTCTTCAAATTAGTGTTTTTTGGATAAATACTCAGAAGTGAGATTGCTGGGTCATAAGGCAGTTCTATTTCTAATTTTTTGAGGAACTTCCATACTGTTTTCCATAGGGCTGTGCTAATTTGCAGTCCCACCAACAGTGCCTGAGGGTTCCCTTTTCTCCACATCCTCGCTAACCCTTGTTTACTGATTTATTGTTGATAGCCATTTTGTCAGGTATGAGGTAATATCACATTGTGGTTTTAACTTGCATTTCTCTGATGATTAGTGATGTTGAACACCTTTTCATATATGTATTGGCCATCTGTATGTCCTCTTTGGAGAAATGCCTATTCAGGTCCTCTGCCCATTTTTTAACTGGGTAATTCTTTTGGTGTTGAGTTGTATGAGTTATTTATAAATTTTGGATATTAATCTCTTATCAGATGTATCAGTGGTGACTATCTTCTCCCATTCAGTGGACTGTCTTTTTGTTTTGTTGATGGTTTCCTTTGCTGTGCAAAAAAACTGTTAGTTTGATGTAATTCCATGTGTTTATTATTTCTTTTGTTTTTCTTGCCTGAAGAGATATATTTGAAAAAATATTACCATGAGCAATGTTAGAGAGTTTACAGCCTATGTTTTCTTCTAGGAGTTTTATGTTTTTGGGTCTTACATTTAAATCTTTAATCCATTTTGAGTTCATTCTTGTATATGGTGTACGGTGGTCCAGTTTCACTTTTTTGCAAGTCTGTTCAGTTTTCCCAACACCATTTACTGAATAGATTGTAAATTCTTGCCTCCTCTGTCATATATTAAATGACCATATAAGCATGAGTTTATGTCTGGGATCTCTATTCTCTTCCAATATAATCTGTGTTTGTTTTAATGCCAGTGACATGCTGTTTTGATTAGTATGGCCTTGTAGTGTAGTTTGATATCAGGTAGCGTGATACCTCCAACTTTGTTCCTCTTTCTCAAAATTGCCATGGCTATTCGGGTTCTTTTATAGTTCCATATAAATTTTAGGATTATTTCTTCTAGTTCTGTGAAAAATGCCATTGGTATTTTGATAAGGATTGCACTGAATCTATAGATTGCTTTGGGAAGTAGAGACATTTTAATGATGTTAATTCTTCTATCCATGAGCACAGTATATGCTTCCATTTATTTATATCTTCTTCAATTTCTTTCATCAATGTCTTATAATTATCCGAGTACAGGTCTTTTACCTCAGTGGTCCCCAATTCCCGGGCCATGGAGCGGTACTGGTCTGTGGCCTGTTAGGAACTGGGCTGCATAGCAGAAGGTGAGCAGCAGGCCAGTGAGCAAAGCTTCATTTGTATGTGCAGCCACTCCCCAGCACTAGCATCACTGCCTCGGCTCCACCTTAGATCAAGCAGGCATTAGATTCTCACAGAAGGTTGAACCCTATTGTGAACTGTGCATGTGAGGGATCTAGGCTGCGTGCTCCTTATGAGAATCTAATGCCTGATGATCTGAAGTGGAGCTGAGGCAGTGATGCCAGAGCTGGGGAGCAGCTGCAAATACAGATTAACATTAGCAGAGAGGTCTGACTAAACAGAGACCATAATAAATCAATTGCTTGCAGACATATCAAAACCCTATCAGAGAATGGCAAGTGACAATTAAGCTGCATCTGGTGGCAGGCTTTATAGTGGCAGGCTTTATAGTGGCAGGTACTTCAATTGTACAGCCGCATCTA